TAGTTACAAAAGAACAATGGTCAAAGTTATAACAAGTAATGCAAAGGCTACTTCAGATAGAAAAGAATCATTATGTTTACATACTGAAACTAATAACAATCTTTATTAAACATTCCAAATTTAATATAATTTTCAAAATTGATAATGATGAATGATATCATGTGCAGTAAAAATGTTATTTGTAGTTTAATAATGGCTGGAGACGGCTTGAATGGGTAATGAAGAAAAACTTTAATACAACAGCAAATGTACAACGTTTCGACAAGGTTTTGTTATCATCAGGTACAAGTAATTTACACTGACACGGATATATATATACAGATTGAACAAAGAAGTCACATGACCGGAACTGTTGTGAAACTTAGAAGAGGTATCTAGGCACCCTGGGGTGTTGGTTTAGAGTAGGGTTGTTTTGTTCAATTAAGATGGATTCCTTGATTTTTCGTTTGTTTATGTTGGGTTCTTTGTTTAAAATGACTGTGTTTTTAATAGATATACTATGGTTTTTTGAGCTGCAATGGTGAAAAACATGGGACGGTTTTTTATTGTGTTCTGTCAATCTGGTTTCCAAGTTTCTTCCTGTTTCTCCTATGTAGAATTAAAGTTTTTCTTCATTACCCATTCAAGTCGTCTCCAGCCATTATTAGTCTCAAAGTGGGTTCCTCGTCATCGAATTTGAATTCACCACTTCTATTGCAAGAGATAAAATGTATTGTCCCCAAGGTTTGTGCTTCTCCATTTCACTCTGCACACAAGGTTCTTTTGCTTTTGGGAACTCTGTATCCCCTTGTACCACTTATTAATTTTGACTGTACACACTGATGCTTGTTCCAGTGGAAGTTGCAGGACAGGTGGAACTTTTCTTGAAATCCATTGTTCTCAATGTTGCACCTTCCTTCTCCTCTTTTTGAAGTTTTGTCTTGGCAGCTCAATGTGCCAACATTTTGGTGGGCATCTCCTTGCTGCCCTTAACCAGATCTCTATCTCTTCATCAATGCTTCTCTGTCAGGCTGGGGGGAGCATCTCTGAATGACTACATACCTTTGAGCATTCACTTCACTTCTATGTCCTTGCCCTTCTTGTTGTACATTGGACTTTCTCCAACTCTCAACACCGTACTTCCCTTCTTCAGGTCTCCAGTTCCTCATCCTTTGGCCTTGTCAGCTGATGCTTTCAGCCAGGACTTGTCTCAGCTTTTTCTGTATGCTTATCCTCCTTCTTGTATCCTCCCTCATGTTCTCAACACTCTTTGTCAGGACCTGTTGGTAGTGCCTCTTTGGCCAGCACAGTGATTTCCTCTGCATCTGGACTCCCTCTTCCTCTGCCTCATTCCTACTTTTTTGCTCCTACAACAACTCTTAACTCTTCCAGGGGTGTTGTCATTTTCTTTTCTAATTTAGGATTTGTCCAGTCCTATAACTAAGGGGCTGGACTGTCCAATTGTGTGACCTTTTTCTTGTCCCATTCCTTTCATCTTTCAACTCTATCTATCTAACAATTAAAGTGTCAGGTTTTCTTACCTTGATCTATCTGTTTCTTTGTTACTCTACCATTACCCGCCTTTCGTTGTTTTTTTCACATGATTCAACCATATATTGTCAGTTCCCCCTATTACTGGTTTTGAAGCAGCTTTATCTCCTATCTTTCATCTTTCCCATTGCTGTCTGGGTTTTCTTCTTCCATCCTCTCCACTTTGTTTTGATCCTTCATTCTTCACCAATCCTCTTGTTCTACTCCCATGCCTGACTGGGACTTTAATGTGGTTTTACATGCTCTTCTTTGGGTTCTATATGCGCCATTGAATTCTTGTTCATTAATCCGTCTTTCTCTGCAAACATATTTTCTTCATTTTCTCAACTATGGTTATTGTCATTTGCATATATATGCCATCATTGTTTCCTAAACTCTTTTTTACTGTACTTACTTCCTTCTCTATCTGGACCAGACCTTTCTTCCTCACACTTCGGCTGCTCAGGAGGGTAAATGTTCTTTCACATTTCATACCATCATGTTCTTCAACTGTCTTACTCTTTTTACTTCTCATTTTCACCAACCCTTGGATGAGATCCTTTAGGCTGGTGTGTGGATAGACCGTCATCCATCCATTCATCTCTCTTTATCTTTGTTGTCTGGCTGTTTTGTCTCCTGCAGGACATCATCTCCCTCCAGTCACTGTTCTTACATGCAGTCTTTGAGAAGGATAAATAAATATTTCTTTTTCAGTACCCTTTTGATCTTTATTGGATCCTACCATGTGGCTAGTGTTGGCTTCCAGGGTATGCTTATTTTCCAAAATCCCCATTGGGCCAGGGGTAATGAAAAGCACCCAACACTTTCACCCTGGCTTTACCAGTGTCCAATGTTGATGTTGGGTGTTCTTCAAGACCATTAGAGGTATTCACACTACTCAGTTGCCCAGACCATACCATTCCATGGACTATCATGGAAAAAGCAGGCACCAAGGAAGTGTCTTCCCACTTCTATATCTTACTTATTCTGACTTTTAAAAATAAGGTTTTGCAGTCACCCCATGCACTGTCTCTAGTGAGAAATTTCTGGTAGGCATCCAATGGGGATCCAGGCACTTCTCCTTGTCTCCCTAGAATTCTCCCCCCCTCTTCTTCATTCAAGTGGAGCATGGGAGAAGTTCCTTGTTGCTGGGGTGGTGGACCTTGGAGAGTTCCTTACCACTGTACACAGCACTGGTGGGAAGTAGGGTTGTGGTGGCACCTTCCATATTGTGTAACTTGCCCCTCAAACAGCTGGTGTGTCCTTCTACTGCAGTGAGAGTCTGTTCAGTTGAGGTGAGCACACACCGTATAATCTGATTGTGCCCTAACCACACTACAATTCATGGCTCACAAATCACCTGTGTGCAGGTACTCAGTTGATCTTGATCTAATTCCACCCATCTATGTGACACTTGGAGCTCTTTTGCCTTTCCCTCTGTTTCCTTCTAAACAAAGAGTATACCCTGTTCGAGACAAGATGCAGTCTCTCATGGGTTTGCCCGTATGGAGCTCCTGCCACTAGGTGTCACACTCCATAGGTTTTCCCTTCAGGTACTTTCTGAATGGAGCTAATCTAGGTTTAATTTTTGCACCAGCCCCTTCACCACTTCAATGTGTGAATCTAACTATTCTGTGTGGAGGTGAGGTATTATCTTAGAAGTTTTCCTTACCTTCCCACTCGTCATCCCCACTTCCTGTGCATTTTCTTCTTGCTTTATCTAAAAATGAAGTTATTTCATGCACAAGTGCTTAGGAGAGTTACTGAGCAAGGAGTTTGTGTTGCCCTTCTACTGGTGGAGGGTTATCATTGCACGATGATGTCATTATGCAGTAGAGCAGTTCACATTAAACATATGATTTCTAGGTGGAAGTTAGCTTATAGGCAGACATGAGGTGTAAAGCTATTCTGTGTGTAGAGTTAAGAATTTATCAGAAATTGTTAACCTTCAGGGATGCAGTAGCAGTTATATTACCTAAATGTTTCATTGAAATTTACATATTAAAGAATAAATAGATGTGTGTTCAATTGTTTTAAAAATGTAAGATATTTATAAACTATGTTCTCAATAGTAATAATTTACTTGTGTATAATTTTGTAGCTGAAACTCGTATTTCTGACTTCTCAACTTGCCATTCATGCTTTCTCCTTTTTCACACTTTTCTTTCCTTTATAATATTGGTAACACTGACATCTTTGTCACTTCTTGCATTCTCAACATTACAGAAAAATTACAACAACAGATCATCAAGTTAATAAAGAGGATAATGATATATTAATTTTAAAAAAGTACCAGCTTACAAGATCCATTGCAAAAATATTATTATTACTAAAATTAGTATATTAAAATAAGACAATTTTACTTTGGAAAGGAACATGTATTTCATAAAGTAACCCAAACAATTACTTTCTTGTTCATTAAACTAAAACTAGGTTCAAGTTTCAATTAATATTCAGCCTCATGTAGAACTTATCCTCAGAGATACATACATAAATTTTTAAGAATGTTGACATAAGTAAAATAAACGTTTTGTTTCAGTATCAGTATTTACTTTGTTAGGACTTGTAAATCAAAGTTAAACTCATGGAATTGCTGGAACCTGTTTATAAATTTAAAGTTTAATGATATATACTACTTATGTCCCTGTGTAAAGTATTATAATAATATTTTGATATATATGATATTATAATAATATTTTGACTAATTAGGACAATATTTTGCTTTTTAACAATCCTGAGGTACATCTTGGAACTAATGAAAATCTGTACACTAGCAGATACAAGCACTGTCTTGAATCAGCTTGATCAGGCCCATTGAATTCTCAAAATGAACAACATTTTACTTCACTTAGATATTTCTTTTTACAAAATCTTGAAGTCAATGCTGCTGAATGAGATTATCTCTTTAAATTTTCAGTCAGATATAGTAGGTGTTCACCAGATGCCACCACTTAAGCACCAGGAATCTTCCCACTTTAGAATCTCCAACATGTTACCTGAGCCAGACTACTTCAACCTACTGTGTGGACCCTCAGAGGAGTCAAATCAATGTTTGTCTACATTTACTGATATACAACCTGAGAACAAACAGATCAGTACAGTTACAGATGAGACTAGAGAACCAATTTTTAATATCTTCCAACATCACAATTACACTTACCACAGTTGGAAGAACTTGACTGACTGTGGGTCTTGTAATTTGTCATTAATATTAACTTCTGGTCAAAGCAAGCTACCTACATCTAAATCATTTAGTGTTGTATCCAATAAGGATTTTCCAGATATTGAAGTAGACGAATATGTTGATGTTGTTACAGTAGATGATGATAACAGAAGTGAGCACTTGGCTGAACTCATAAATGAAAACTATTCTGCAGCCCGCTGTATCCCAATCACAGAAGTTTGGCTCAGCAAACATTCACTTCATTGGAATACTTTCAAAAGCATATCTGTCCAAGTTGAACAGAATAGTTCAGAAAGTTACAAAAGTATTGAAATGTCTAAAAACTACAAATCAGGTATGTAGTAGGAAATAAAGTAGTTAAATCATTATTTAAAACTGAGCATATGGGTAATGTTGTATAGTATAACATAATGTTTTGGGACAACAAGGAACCTATTGGTCCATTTCGGCTGTTCCATCCTCTAAACTAAATTAAAATAATTAAAAAAAACTTAAAGCCAGCCCTTATTATTCATATACTTATCAAGCTTTTCTTAAACTCACTTAAATTTACTGCCTCTACATCTGAAGGCAACCCATTCCAAAGGCCAAGCATCCTGTTAGAAAAATGAAACTGTCTTAGCTGAAGATGACTCCTACCTTGGAAAAATTTATATTTGTGTCCCCTAGTCCTACTATTCTCACTGTTAAATGTGAAAAAAAAGAATATGCATCAACACTATCAATTCCCTTTACAATCTTATACACCTCAATCAGATCCCCCCTAACTCTTCTTTTTTCAAGAAAAACAATTTGAGAGATTTCAGTCTCTCCTCATATGACAATCACTCCATCTCAGGCACAATTCTAGTAACCCTTCTCTGAACTCTTTCTAACAATTCAATATTTCTGTTGATACAACCTAAAATCCTATTTGCCCTACCACTAGCAACAGCACACTGCTTGGATGACTTTAGAGACTAACTGACTATTACATCAAGATCACTTTCCTTCATAACACTGTTAAGGCTATTTCCATCCAAATTATACTTGTAATTCAAATTATGATAACTCACAAGTATTATCTTGCATTTATTATAATTAAAACCCATCAGCCATTTATTTGCCCAACTCACTAACTGATCTAAATCCTTTTGTAAATCAGCAGCATCCTCTTCACAACTAGCAACACCCAAGACCTTAATATCATTTATTGACTATTCCTTCTTCTATGTCATTGATGTAAATCAAAAAGAGCAAAGTTTCTAAGACTGAGCCCTGAGGTACCCCACTTGTGACATTAATCCAATTTGACTGAACTCCATTTGTAACAAACCTCTGCTTTCTTCCATCTAGCCACTCTTCTATCCAATTTGCTAACTTATTCCCCCAAACCTATAGAGATAACTTTTTTTTTTACAAGCCTTTTATGTGGCACCTTGTCAAATGCATTCTGAAACCATTATGATTACTTTCACTCAAAAATATGCATATCTTATAGTTGGTTATTGGCAAATGAAGTGGAATAGACAGAATAACTTACTATTACTGTGGGGTAACCTAAGGCTTGTAGCAAATAATTTTATTCTATAAAAATATAATAAGCTACTAATATAAGACTACTTATTTATAATATGTATGTATGTATTATATAATCCTACTTTTTTTCCAAGCCACGAACTAAAGAAACATTTCATGAATTTCTTCAAGTTATTTTACCATCAGTGCAAAGCAGGTGTTAAAGAAAAGGCCTTTGCCTGACTAAAATGCCATATTTTTTTACCATGTAGGAATTGTATATAAACATATTTCTTTATGTAATTGGAACTTGTTTTAAACATCTAGTTAAGTATAAAATGTGCTGATCGAGCTAGCCAACAAGGCTTGGGGAAGAGGAATAGATTATACTCAAGGCCTTCCAACACCTTGTTTAATTTCAAAATAATTATTTAAAGTATAGTGTGGAATGCATAAAAAAAGTCCGGGTAATGGAATTTTAAGTTACTGGTTACTTAAACAATGATGTATTTTATAATTCTGTATTTTCATTACATTATGGTGCTGAATTTTCATGTTTCTCATACAGATTCATCAGCCTCGATTCTAATTGATACAATGAACTCATCAGCATTGAACAAGAATATTACCACACACACTATACCACAAGTTGCTACTTCAAAGGAGACATCAATCAAAGGTTCTTCATCAAGTTGGCCTCAGCCAAAATCTTTGTTATCTACTGTAATAGAAATTGGAGGTTCATGTTATGAAAGCCAGCCTTCCATAAACTACTTGAACACTGTAAATCGAGATTTTGGGTGCTTTCCTCAAAATAGTCTTTCAAAAATTCCAGACTATTTAATTCAGTTTTCTATTTCTAAACCCTATAGCCAGTCTCTTGCAAATCTTTGTTCCAAAACTTCAGTACAGACTTTCCACCAAAGATCTGTTAAAGGAAATGAAGATGATCTTACACTGCAAGTTGAAACAACTGAGCTATATGACAAAATACCTAGATACCTAAAAGATGTGTTAAAAAAACATTCTTCCATAAGTACCTGTCGGAAAACAAGTGGGACTTCACTGTTGAAGCGTGAGTATATGAAGGAAGGACCACAAGGGAAGAAAGTAAAAGACATTGTGCAGCTTACATGAGAGAAAGTTCCAAGTGTAGAAAGAAATCAGTTGCTTATAATTCAGTTTTTAAATCAACATCATGGTCTAGTGGGAAATGCAATATAAGGGATTCTAGTTCTTCTTCAAAGTTAGAAACTAATTTTAAATCATCTGGTTCTTCAACTACCAAAATTAGCAGATTAATGAGTTGCAATTGGTGTCATAATAGCAGAAAAAAATGTCACTCTTCATCTTGTGATAGATCCAAAATGGTTTATTTATCAAGACCTCACTCTCAAAATCAAGCTGACTCCAGGAATTATGGAAGGTCTAGATTTCATTCTCAATGTAACTATCAAATTAGGTATGTTTTATTCAGGAAAACTAAAGTTAATGAAAATCATGCACTTGGCAAAACAAGAAATCAACAGCACCTTATAAAGTTTAAGTTTTTGGTTATATAAGCAACCACAAGTGTGGCATTTATTTGTAACCGAGATGTAATATGATTGGATCTTATCATGGTGGTTTGTTTGCAACAGGTTTTAAAAGACTGTGGATTATGTAGTTCACTTGAGACACTTGAAAACTTTTCTTGAGATATTGTTTTAGTCTTTTATGTATCCTTACCTCACTAATTGTTACACTAATAACCTCACTGATAAATGTATGTGGTTCTTGAGCCAGTGAATAGGTTTGTGTTCTTAGTTTTTAAAACAAAAAAGTCATATTTGGGGGTTTGATTATAAATATTTTATAAATGGTTACTTAGTTATATACATTCAACATGAAGAACCATCTTATTTCCTATCAAGAATTTGTTGTAAGCAAATTAAAAATAAAAGAGCTCAATACAAATAGTAAATTTTGCCTAAAATTTTATGTACCTAAAGGATTTGTTGAATGTTAAAATAGCTTCAAAAACTTTGTTACTACCTGAATAGTATCTTGTTTTGACTTTAAATAACCAACAAGTTAAAATTTATGTTAGGCAAGATTTTCCAGGGAAGAAGGGACCATTTTGTACTTCAATGCCAATCCTGTGCACTCTTTTATAAGAAAAGTAAAAATAAAATCCATATTTTTCAGGAAATTATTGATTCCCCTGTTACATCTTATAAGGTGCTAGCCTCCACTGTTGCTGATGGCAACTCATTCCATTACCTAATCACCCTATTAGAAAAATAAAATGTATTATCTGGAACCTAGCTTGTCTTTTCCAAATCTTAAACTTCTGTCCTCTCTCCTACTGCCTTTAGAATATATCACAAAAAATACAGAGGGCCCTGTCTTATAGTCGTCAGTAAAATCAATATTTTTACTAAGTCTATCCTTTCTGTATACAATAATCCAAGTGAAGCCTAGCTAGTGATATTTTGTATATAGAGACAATTACTTCATTTGACATGTAATTCAGTGTATTTATAAACACATCCTTAAATGCTATTATCTTTAGTACTGTAGTAACAAAACTGCTTTGATAACTTGAGTGACTGATCTACCGTTATGCCAAGATCCTTTCCTTCAGTCGTTCTGTTGAAAGGATTCTTGTATGTAGAAAACGTGTGATCCAAAGTATGATAACCCAAAATAACATTGAACTTAATAAATTACTATGATTAATAATTGAGTCATTTGCTAATGATTTGTCCATGTTAACATTTGGTCCAGGTCATTCTATAGTACCTCAACATTCTCAGTAGCTATAGAAATATTTAAGTGTTCAATTTCATCTGCAAAATTTACTGATTATGACCTATCATTGTCATTAATTTAAATAAATAAAATCAAAGGACCATGCACTGACCTATGAAGCACACCCTAGTAATAGTGGTGCAGTTTGACAGGGCTCCTTTATAAAGAACTTTTTGCTTTACCTCACCCAAACAGCCCCTAATCTAATTCACTTATCCTTTCCCAACCCCCCACTAGTGTGATTTTATCAATTTTTGTGAGGCACCTTATCAAAAGCCATTTGAAAATCTAAGTGCTCTAAGTTCACATCCTTTTCATCATCCAAATAACAATAATGTTTTCAAAAATATTAACAGATTAGTAAGGCAAGATTTACCTCTAGTGAATCCATGTTGATTTTCTTTTCTGATATCATATTTTCACTTAATGATTTTGCAAAGTTTCTTTTAACTGTTTATAGACTGACCCTGTATTGGAGAAGGAATGTTAGCTATAATTTTAAATTTACAATGAGTTACTACATAAATCTGGCAAGCTATTAGTAAAATGTATAATTCCGATAGGGTACTCTCCATCTGCTAACAAGATTAGCTTTTCTCGTTTTGTGCTACCATCTCTATGCAGACTTTTTTAGAAACGCATGTCACAAGCCTTCATCATCCCTCTGTTGGAATCCAAAGTTCCATCACATCTCTCATGCAAATCATCATTAGGACAGCACTACTATCACATGACGCATGTGTCTCCCTCTATGCACCACTACTGAACTATCATTTCTTAGTTGGCAGCTGTCGAGTTCAGATATTCTTTCTTACATTGTTCAGTTACCTTGAAGTTGCTTATTTTTTATATTTTTCAAAACTTTATTTACTACACTTCACAGTTGTGAAGTTAATATTTTAATTAAAGCATTCCTTCCTCATGTTTGCCATTTTATTCTGCTTATGAATTCAGATCCTTTACCAGCATCTGATGTCATATTTTCACCTACACGGGTGACCATTGGGGGATATATCATCGCTCGTATGCCAGGAGATTGAGTGGTATATGAGCCAACCTCTCTCACCTACTTCTGCCCCACTTCCTCCTGAGCCTTTCGAGCTGGGCCAAGCTGATGACGATTTTGATCATTTGTTTCCCCCCTCCCCACCCAGAGTTTGCCCGCACCTTCCCTTTAATAACCTTTCACACTTTATCTCTCAGGTATAGAATGTTTTGTCTCTTACACCTGTTTCCTATGACCCTAGACCTTCCATGCTACATGAAACAACTTCCCAACCTTATTTATTCTTTCCCCTGTTCCCCGATATTAGGGTTCATGCGGACCGATTTGCCTCTCAATTGGGGAAGGTGCTAGTATGCTTCGTCCCCCATGGACTTCAGATCAGTCCGCCCTTGCTTATCATAGGGCAGACTTTCCCTTTCTTGACCAACAGTTGTTTGGGTCAGTTCTACCTGTTTGGGGAAGAACACTGATTACCCTGTCCAAGTTACCCAAGCCCAATTTTTCTTTAACACCCATTTCAGTCAGGCCCAACCTTCTTCTCTCTAGCTCCATTCCATGGAATGGGCCATTTAGAAAGCCCTGTTTGTTTCCTCAATTACAGCTTGTGAGGTTCCATTTCTTTTGGGGATGTTGTCCTCCATGACCCCTCTCATACCCCTGGGCAGGGCCAATATGCGGTTTTTTCAATGGGTCCTTTACAATCAATGGAACCTCACCTGGGATCCCTTGGATACTTCTATATATCCCTTCCCTCATCCCTTATAGATGATCTCCATTAGTGGTTGAACATGACACCACTTCCTCCTCCACAGCCACATTTACATCTATTCACAGATGTATCACTTTCAGGGCAGGGGTGCCTGGGGGGATCACCAGTAGGTTTTGGGTTGTTAGTCTGTGGGGGAGGGTTCTCTTCACATCAGTGTTCTTGAACTCCTGGCTGTTCTTTGGGCTTTGGATCATTTTCTTTCTCTTGCCAGCCACTGACTGGTTATGATCAACTCAACAATTCTATCATGGTGGCTTATATCAATCACCAAGATAGCACCAGGTCCAGATCTCTGGGTTTTCACACTATGAGTTTTCTTTATTGGGCCCATACACATCAAAATCGTTTGATGGCGTGTCATGTACCAGGTGCATTCAATCTCGTAGCTGATTGTCTTTTCTGACTGGATTGTGTTTATTCCATGTGGTGTTCCCTGCACCCTGCCGTTTTTTGGTGGCTCTGTCTGCATCTGGGAACACCCCATATCGATGCCTTTGTCACCACCCTCAATCACAAGTTACTTCAGATTTGTTTCCCGGTTCTCCATCCTCAAACCTTGGCTGTTGATGCCTTTGGCCAGGATTGGTCTCATCTATTTCTTTATGTTTATCTTCCCATCCATTTACTTCATTGGGTAGTCTCCCTCATCCATGCCATTCCATGCACGGTCCTTCTGATTGCTTCTTACTGGCCCACTGAACCTTGGTTCACTTGCTTGCTCCAACTGCAGGTTGTCCTTCCTCTTCCCTTCCAACCCAACCTGCTGTATCAATCTCAGTCACCGGTACTCCATCCTGCTCTATCCATTCTCCATCTTCATGCCTAGCTTTTTTCAGGTTCTTGTAGAGGAGTTCCAGTTTCTCTTACACAGTAGCTTCACATATAGCCCATTCCATTCACCTTTCTTCTTTGGTCATCTATCAATACAAGTGGAGCATTTATCACTCCTGGGCATTGACTCAGGGTTTCCAGGCTTCTCAACCTGTATCTCCGAGTTTCTCACATGGCTCTTTGAGAGGAGTTCTTCCATCTCTTTCATTTTGGGGTTTCAGGCTGCATTTTTTCCATTTCTGAAGGGTCTTTGCTTCCCCTGTCCTTTCCATGTTGATCCACTATTTCTGGCTCCAAAAGCCACCAAGGTGTCCGTTGGTCCTGGACTGGGACATTAACGTGGTCCTTCATGCCCTCACTTTACTACCATTCAAATGTGTTCCCTGTTTCACCTTTCTTTGAAGGCACATTTTCTCCTCCTCCTGGCATGCAGGTATCGTAGGTCAGATATTTTTGCCCTCTTCATTACCAGGACCTTGTATTACTCCTTCTACCTTATCCTTTATCTGGATTGTGCTTTCCTTCCTAAGAACTCTGTGGGTTGAGAAGGTCAGTCCTCCTTTTCTTCTATCTACCTATCCTCTATATCTCATCTGTACCCTCGTCCTAATTAGGATAGACTTCTCTGTCCTGTCTATGCCCTCTGTTTTTATATTGCTCACCTGGCTTACTTCTCGGGTCTTCGTTCCTGCCTTTTTTTATCCCTAGGAAACCTTCCTTTTTCTGTGATCTTTCCCTGGTTACCCTAACCAATTTGGTTTGATGTTTGATCCATTTGGCCTATTCCTCCATGTCTCCTTCCCAGCATGATCTCTTTCACATTTCTCACGTCAAATCTGTCACTTTACCTTCTTTTTTGCCTCTCGTCTTTGTCAGCTATTGGAGGAGATTCTATGATCGGGCATGTGGACGAATCCCACACATTCATCTCCCATTACCTACACCACATCACTGTTTCTGCTTCCTCAGGGTATCACCTGTGGGGGAAGGGGAGGGTGACCCATCATTAAATTTATCTGTGATTATTTGCCAAGAGATTGATCATTACATGGGTCAACTGCCT